ATGGATGAGTTAAAAACCCAAGGTGATGTCTAAATGTTCAATCTTGTCCCCAATGTGAATATATATAGCGTGTTCATTCATTTTCAACTTCTTGAACCAAGTGTTGTGTTGATTTTATTACTATTTGATTTCCATCAATGTACAGTCGCATAGCTTTTATGGTCAACAGCACTCAATCCTAATGTACCGGTGATGCACGAAGGGAATGAACACGTATACTCTTCAATGTCAAAGTAATACTATCCCAGCGTTTGCAAGTTTAGACTACAGTTATCGGAATAAAAGCAACAACATACTTCACAAAAAGCAATAGTTATTCAATCTTGACGTTTAATATAAGGGGTGTAACCAATAAATGAATGCCCGGTGAGAGGCATCCTATATTAAACATCCATCAAGAATAATGTCTTACAATTTGATGGTACACTGAGACAGTGATCCTTTCAAACTTTCATCCATTGACCCACAAGGCCTTTCAAGATATTAATGTTGACTTTATCTTAATATATCACTTTTACTTTGTTATAACACACATTTCATAAAGCCTTTCCTGCAAATCAGATTTGCGTACATGCACCTTAATCATATGTGAATAACGTTTCATTGGTCAATAATAAGGACTCATTATTTCACTTTTACTCTGTTGTAGTTGCCTATAACATTTCATTGCTACTCTAACAAGTATTTATTCCCCCGGTCCCAATAGCTCTTGTGTTTTTCATAAAGCCTTTCCTTCAAAATAAATTTGAGTACACGCACTTTAATCATACACATGAGTGAGAGTTCACTTTTTCATTCTACATGTCTGAAATCTTCAAATGTTCAATCCGCTTTGAAATGATATATGTGTTCACTTTATTTTAGACTCCTTGAATTGGTAAAACCAACCCTGATGATACCGGTGATGCACGGAGGAAAGTACACTTATGTCAAATCTAACAGAAAGCGCACTTGTCAATCTGCATAAATGCAAAAATCAAGGTGTCTCTCAAGTGAATTATTGTAAAAGCATAGCTATTAGCAAAAAATCCACAGTGTTTAACTTTGCTTGCTCAATTGCTTGAACAAGACTCAGTAGTCTGAACATTATAAATAATGTTCCATAACTAACACCTTACATATAGTGGTAACAATTAATTGTTAGTGACCATACTTTTATCGAGATGTAGCATGTGAATACTGAGTGTTAGGTACCTTGTACTCTACACTGTGAGGTGTAGAGTCCAACCCCCCTATGCTACAGGCTTGTAACAGATCTGGTGTGATTTACTTGGCTTTACCCTTTCAGCTTCACTCCCATATAGGTAGTCAGGAACCTGATCTGCCTTTATTTTTGACCCAAAGTGGGACATCAGGGGTAATTATTGAAATTTCATCCAGACTGGGCATTTTGGCCCTGTTTGTGTCAACCAGGGCCAAAACAGGGCCAGGAAATGCGCGTGTGAGAGTTATATTTGAAATTCAACCCTTATAAATTAAATGAATCACACTACACTTTATTAACAAAATCAATACACTACACAACACCACACTACACTTCATTAACAAAATGAAAACACAACACTACACTATTAATGAAAGTAATTACACTACACTAATAAAACAAATCAAACACACTACACTACACTACACTATTAATGAAAGTAATTACACTACACTAATAAAACAAATCAAACACACTACACTAATAAAACAAATCAAACACGCTACAAACTTGAAATTCACTACACTACACTATTAAAATGAAAACACTACACAACACTCAAAAATGAAATTCATTACACTACACTAATAAAACAAATCAAACACGCTACAAACTTGAAATTCACTACACTACACTATTAAAATGAAAACACTACACAACACTCAAAAATGAAATTCATTACACTACACTAATAAAACAAATCAAACACACTACAAACTTGAAATTCACTACACAACATCATTAAAATAAAAACACTACACAACACTCAAAAATGAAATTCACTACACTACACTAATAAAACAAATCAAACACGCTACAAACTTGAAATTCACTACACAACATCATTAAAATAAAAACACTACACAACACTCAAAAATGAAATTCACTACACTACACTAATCAAACACATCAAATACACTACAAACTTGAAATTCACCACACAACATCATTAAAATAAAAACACTACACAACACTCAAAAATGAAATTCATTACACTACACTACTCAAATAAGTCAATTTGACATTTACCACACCACACTATGAAAATAACTACACCTCACTACACTTTTGACCAAAAAAAAAAAAAGTTATCAATTTTCCGAAAATTGCAGGATAGTTGCTCCTCATATGCCTGACTCCATATATGTTCACGGTTATCTGTAGCATCACT